GTTTACTCGCAGAAAGAAAATAAAAGTCAAGTTTAAACATAAAAGGAAGATTTGAAGAGAAATAGAAGATTTCCGCAGAAGAAAAGGAAGGATCGAGAAGAATGGAAAGTTCCCGATTTAAGTCAAATCTGGGCGAAATGGAAAGATCGGATAGCCAAGATGAGGAGTATATAAAGAGGAGGTCTAGGGTAGAAGCATATACACGAAAATTCAGAGCTCTCACCACCAAAACTAGCATTTAGGAATCTTTCCGTTTTTCTGTTAGCGAGCTGCGTCTCAATTAGGGTTTTCTAGGTTCTTACGTTTACGGCTACTCTTTTTGTAACCAGTTCAACGCAGATTCGGAATAAGAACCTTCTTGCTTTCAAATCTCTCTTATTTTCGTTTTTATTCTAAGTTATCGTCATCTTATTTTCGTTGTGCGGTTCTCGCAGATAGCCGGTTCCTCTGGAAACTTAGGGTTCTCCCGAAGTTTCCTTTTTTACGATTTATTTGACGGTAGGGTGAAATCGACTCCCACACTTTCCCATATGGTGGGTCCCCTTTTTGCCATACAATCGCATGCCGATAATTATAAATCTTATCGACCAAACCTTTATGTCGTCTATTTTCCGGCACTGCCCAGCCCGTTCTATCGATTCCATCAAACCATCCTCACCAATCCATCTTTTATCAAACCAAAACTTTCTGCAAAAGTTTAAAAAAATTTCATCAATGGTAGCCACTATCAGAAGATGTCTGAAGCTTATCATTCCCAATTATTTAACACAGGAACATGGAAACAAATTGTGCCATTCATTATTTCCCAAAGCACGATCTAACCGACACTTGACAACATGACCTCCTCTTCGTCTACTCCAAGAGAGAGTGTTCCCCAGACTCAGAAACTCCAATAAACCGCAATTCTGAATCATATTATTAAAAGAAAGAAAAGAATCTGCATGGTGCAGGGCCCCTACTTGTTGCTCATGGTTCACTGTAATCTCATTTAAATCACCAATAATGAACCATGGTTCATCTTTAGCAATGCCTAATTGTGTAACCTCTCCCAAACCTGATTCTGAAGACCTTGATTTGGTTCCCCATAAACAAAAGAAATAAAAATACGTTTACCTTTTTATACTCCGTTTCAACATCAATAATTCTTTTATTTGAAGAAATAATATTTACATTAAGAGTACAATAATAGAAAAGAGTCAGTCCACTATTTCAATCTTGAGGATCAACCATATGAAGATGAGAGTAACCGAAATGAAATTGAAAAGACTGAAAAAAATTAAACTGTTGTTTTGTTTCCGAAAGAAAAAGAAAACTTGGTTTGTGTTTCGACCAAATTTCTCTCAAGTAACTAATAGTCCACTTACTTTCAAGACCCTGACATTTTCAACTTAAAATATTTATTTAACTGGAGACTGGATTAAAAAAGACACAAAACATATACGATGATGGACACATATATTGATTAGAATAAAAATTCCTGACACTTTTAACCGAATTACCAGAAACGCCTAAAGAAACTCGTATCATTTTAACAAACCCCCATGTGCAAAAAGACCTTTTACCAAGTGAAGAGAATAACATCCATTGTAGGAATGGTTGCTTATTCCTAAATATTTTTTATCACATCCCCACGTAACAAAAACAGATAATATAATGGGATACCTCACGCATCCCACACTCCAAAATAGCTCTGATATCGGACTCCCAACCACAGATGATTCAAATAGAAAAAAACACAACTACAACAAAACTCCAACAATGTGTTATTATCATACAGAGCACTCTACTACCAATATTTTCCCTTTCAATGGAGCTCATAGTGCCTTCATGATGATAAGCTGTCGGTCCAATACATCTCATCCATAAACCCATAATCCCCCAATCCAAGTGTAAGCCCTTTTACCTCAATACAATCGCATAGTTATAGTACAAACATGATATCATTCTCACATGCACAATTGACTCAAAAAGAAGAAACTCAGCCACAACAAAACTCCAAACACTTGACATGTTGATACTACTCCATCGACTACCATTATGTGTCCGAAAAAACTCAAATTACCTTCATGATGATAGCCTCCCACGGAGACGTATCTCAGCCATAAAACCTCAATCCACCAAATCATTTGTAACCCATTAGACCTCAACAAAACCGCAAACTCAGAGGACAAACATACCTCCGTTAATCTACGATCAAACAAATACAAAACCATTGAGAAACTATACCACGGAGTCAAAGAAAAATCAACCACAAAAAGATCTTGTGGACACCAGAAACAGATATTAAAGTAACCAAAGTCCCTAGTCTCGACACCAGTATAAGGCCATAACACAAACCTTTTATTCGAAACATGGAAACAAAAAAAAAAAATAATCCGAACATTCAAACTCAACATCAGAAATCTCTGATGATAAAACCAAACTACTTAAAGAAAACTTAAACACATGTCTTAACAACCTTCTTCTTTGAAGCCTTATCAAGATTATCCTGCATTACATTGGGGTCGGAATTGATCACCGGTCCATGCATCTCCTCTGCACCACCATCAGTAGTCACCGTCTCCCCCACACCACCATCTGTAGTCACCATCTCTCTTCCTCCATAAACTCTGGCACCTCACTTTTCTCCCATTCATCATCAAGTAACTCAAAGTCCGATATCAGTACTCCCTCCACCATAAGATGCATCACCCAAAGCAGAATGGGGATCATGGTCCACAGTCTCAATATCTTCCTTCATACCATCCTCCTCATCTTGCACCTTCTCACCTAAAGTCTGTTGAGTCTCTTTGATCGAGTCTTCAGACATCACCACATTGATTTCTTCATCAAACTGGAGAGACTTACAAGCCCTTGAATGACTCCCGTCTCCACCACAGAGTCTTGATGTTCCTTATTCACCTTTGGAGACTGATTGATCCCTTTGAAACCATCCATCACGAGTTTCTGGGGATTAGATAGGTTATGTCCATCTTCTCTGTTCTGCAAGTTTTTCAAACCCCTCGCATTGATAGCAAATCGAACACTTTGCTGCCTCCCACCCCGTGATGATCCCTCTCCATTACCACGTGAGATCCTTTCCTTATAGGCACGATATGCTTCATCTTGTCGGAAATATCATTGCTTTTCACGAGCAAGACCCTTACCTTTATTGCCATCTTTCATCACCCTTGGCAGTTGTTCCTCTCGATGATCCTCTCCGGACTCCCTCCCATTAACCATGCACCTTTGTAACTTGTAACTTGCATTCCATGATCAGATTTCTGTCCTGCCATCACAACACCATCTTCCACCATAGGTATCAAACTTGGACACCTCGACTTGTCATGTGTTAAGCAATGGCAGTGTCTACAGAAACAAAACAATCTTGTGATACCTTAAAGAGACCACTAGCTCCACACCTTCATCGAATTAAAACTCCATAGTGAACACTAGAGGATTGTACTTTGTAGCCGTCCAATTCCACTTTAACTCTTCCTTCTATTAGATTAACCTCATCGTGGACCTGACCAATAACTTCTCTAATACTTTCAAATGTTGATGCAGCAAAAAACTGAAGAGGGACATCGAGAACACGAACCTAGAATGTGATCTTGGAAGGGTAGTTAACATCTAATATAAGCTTCCAACGAACAAGCGAGAGCATCCAGTAGTCAAAGTAGAAAGGTTCCATCTTCAGCACCTCAAGGATATCTTCTTTATCCTCATAATGTAACTGGAAACATCCCAACCCCAAGTCAGAACCAGTCACTCGCCCCTCTAATTGACAGACTCTAGGAAGCATGAACAGGAGGATCTTCATATCCTGCTTGAGAGGATTCAAGCACCGCACAATAAACGTCTTAGCATACCGAGCAATCAGCTCAGTGTTGTCAAAGCGAGGAACCGAGATTTTCATTCTTGGCTTAGCCATCTCCACCTTCTTTCCTCCCGATTGCACCATCCATTGACCTTGCGTTATTGTCACCCGAAAAGAACCACATAAGTGAAAAGATAATCTTACTACAATGAGGATAGCAAAGAGAAATAAATGTTGTGATGGTTGTTTATAGTATCGTAATAGTCCTTTAAATACTACCAGTATATTATAATTTAAAATCATAAACAAAGAATCCTCAAGATACTCAACGTAAATACAAAATTCAAAGAGATAAGTAGAGATATGATATTGAGGAATTGATTTTCTAAGGACAAGCCAACTAAATATTCTAGGATCCGTTCCAGAGCTACTCTTTCTTTTCATACCATTGCAAATAAAAGAAACCATTAAAACAAATCTCGTTCCCATAACATGTTCCCAATCATCATCACAATCTTACATAGAGATAACAATCTTCCCAAAATAAGTGACATAAACACTTACTAAAGAGACGTACTCAAATCCTCTTTCCCCAATTTCGAATGAAGCCGAATCGCATCCCTTGATCCCAAATCCTGAGATTGAGAACCTGTAAATCTTTTATCCAAATAATGAATATACTCCAATATGAGACGATCCCTGACCCTAAGATCCGTCGAATCTCCATCGTCCTCTTCGTAGTCGCTAAATCCAACCAAATCCCCTTACTACCCACAAACCGTACGAATCTGATACCAGAGATCTCATCATTTACCAGAAAAAAAAACGAAAAGGAAATATCACTCCAACCCATATCCAAATAGAATGGAGAGAGATCTCTCATCGTCCTTAGGAAGAGACAGTCGCCAACGCCGTCGCTATAACGTTTTTTTTTCTTTTTAAGTAATTTTATTTTTGAGCGTTTTTCTTTTTAATGTGAGTTGGTTGTTTATATTTTATATATGTAAATATATTAGATTATCTTCCAATAAAATGTATAGTGTTATTCAATATAATATCAATTAATTAAAATAATGAATTATATATATTTATTAGTTTGAATAAAATATAAAATTGTTAGTGAGTAGTCTACGTATTAATTAATTAGAGAAGAAATAATAAATACTAAAATATAAGAGTATTAATGACAAAACCTGTAATATAATTCTTGAAAGAAAAATGAATCAATACTTATATAGTTATTAGTAAAAACAGTTAATGAAATAGTTAAGATGAGAAAAAAATGTGAATAAATATTCTAAGAAACAAATTTAAAAAAATTTATAAGTTATATTTTTTTATTTCTGTTTTAATACGTTGGATTTTTTTATGGGAAAATTGTCATTTAAATCACGAACATTCAAATCTGGTTGAAAAAACACGAACTTCCCTTGGACCATTTAAAGCACCAATTTAATTTGAATAGTCATTTTAAACCTAAATTTAGTGTGACTAAACCAAATCAAATACGACGTTAACTCGAGTAACAGATCGATTAGACGGAGTTAGTCGCCGTCTTTAATTTCCGTTAAGTCTAAACGACGTCGTTTTAAAAATTTTAAAAATATTGTATTCGAAGTGAATCGAACCCGTGACCCAAAAAAAACTCAATCCAAGACAGAACCACTAGAGCATTTGCACTTTTCTTAACTTAAATGAATACTAATAAATATTATTATGAACCATCCAAATCATTTTCTCCCACCCTAAATCCCTAAATATTAAAACTTATAAATAACTAATAATTAAAAAAATTGTAAATATTTGTAAAAAAGATTAAAACTTATAATAATTATTAAGTTATTTATAAGAAGTATTAAAAATATTAAATAAAAATTTTTTTAATCCTTAAGTATTATTGAATATTCAAATTTTTTGTTCTTATACTTAATAATTAATTATTCAATAATACTTAATAATTAAATAATTTTATTAATTATTGAATATAATTATTTAATAATACTTAATAATTAAGTAGTTATTAATTATTGAATAAAATTATTTAATTATTAAATAAAATTATTTAATAATACTCAATAATTAAGTATTTATTAATTATTGAATCAAAATTGTAATAAGTTTTAATATTTTACTAATATTTATGATTTTTAATTATTAAGAATTTATTCAATAATACTATTATAATTTTTAATATTTTTACTAATATTTATGATTTTTTAATTATTAAGTATTTTATTCAATAATACTATTATTTAATTATTAATTATTGAATCAAATTATTCAATAATACTCAATAATTAAGTATTTATTAATTATTGACGAAAATTATTTAATTATTAAGTATTATGAAATAATTAATTATTAAGTATAAGAACGAAAATTTGAATATTCAATAATACTTCATGATTAAAAAAATTTGTTATTTAATTTTTTAATACGTCTTATAAATAACTTAATAATTATTATAAGTTTTAATATTTTTACTAATATTTACGAATTTTTTAATTATTAAGTTATTTATAAGTTTTAATATTTGGGGATTTAGGGTGGGAGAAAATGATTTGGATGGTTCGTAATAATATCTATTAGTATTCATTTAAGTTAAAAAAGTGCAAGTGGTTTAGTGGTTCCATTTTTGGAATGTATTTTCCTTTGGGTCACGGGTTCAATTATCTTCGGATGCGATATTTTAAAAAAATTTAAAACGACATCGTTTAGACTTAACAAAAATTACAGACAGCGATTAACTCCGTCTAATCGATATGTTACCCGAGTTAACGTTGTGTTTAATTTGGTTTAGTCAAACTAAATTGAAATTTAAAATGGTTATTCAAACTAAATTGATGCTTTAAATGATCCAATGAAAAGTTCATGTTTATTTCAACTAAATTTGAAAATTTGTGATTTAAAGGACAATTTTTCTGATTTTTTATGTATTTATTTATTATTGTCCTTACATTCTTGACTTGCAATCTTTGACTTATATATGTACCCCTGAAAACATGGTAAGTGGAACCGACCCTTACGCCACAGAAATTAAATGTAGTGGACCAGTTGACGGACAAGTTGACGTTACTTTTATATTTTGACTTGACTTTACCAGTGACTACTTGACTTTCACAAGCATCATGGGCGGATTATTTTTTATATTATTAGTTCGAATATTTAACATACATATGTAAAAGTAAAAAAATGTATTACAAAGACAAGTTTGTGAACTAATGCAAAAAATGTTAAATCTGTGAGTCAATTGATGTGCGAGTTCTACTTGTTCCAAAAGAATGATGATAGTTGGAGAACCTGAGTTGACTATCACCAACAACAACACAGTTAGGCATTATAGAATTTAGATTTAGGTGGTTGACTATCACCAACAACAACACATTTAGTTACTTAATTAGACAATATCGCTATCTGGTTTCCCTGTTTTAATCGTGCTTTTTAGATGAGCCTCATGTCTCTTGAACGCTCTTACGCAAACTCACAGTATAACTATATCTTTTAAATCTTTTGTGCTTGTTTTTCTGATTACTTGTCGTTTGTTTGATCTTATCTATAAATCCCGATTTTTCGTAAGTATGTAATACAAAATTTGACTGTAGAAGTATCGACTCCCACATTAACCTTTGAATGTTCTCTTCCAGCCTTTCAAAATATCTTTCAATCTACTCTTTTAGGATTTTTACCTTCATGGTGATCACTTGGTTGCATGTGGTGATGGTTTTGTCTCTCCTAGCTAAAGATATCTCTTGGACTTGTTTCTTCAAGTCCTTAACCCTAAAGATAGGAGACTATTCATCTGATTAATTTCTAGTACAAGAAGACAGCTAGGACTAGGATTCCCTACTCTAAATACATTGTACTTCCATGACTTGATCAATACTTCACCAAGATTTTATTTTATCATGATAAGTTGACACTACAAAGCGTAGGATAGCGGAAAATACGTGACAGTGGATGGAGTTAAAGAAGATCAAACCGTGTGCAAACTTGTTATCACGAAGTATCAATATCAATATTATTATTAAAACTATAGTACAAATAAAAATTGTTGGGAAACATAAATAATTGTTTAGGTTCACCATCCAATAAGATTGCATTATTTCGTATTTGATATCTTTTTAAAAAAGAAACAAAATCTTATTAATTTATATTCTGTTTTTAAAAATAAAAATACAAAATTAAATAAAAATAATAATAATTAATAAAAACGAAAATAATTCTTTATAAAGAACATATTTTAACTCTAAACCCTAAACTTTAATCATAAACCCTAAACTCCTGGGTAAATCATACACTTTTGGATAAATCTTCTAACATTTTAAAAATTTAATGTTTATGATTTATCCAATGATTTAGGGTTTAAGATTAGAAATCAGAGTTTAGTGTTTATGATTTACCCAAGGATTTAGAGTTTTGGCTT